AGAAAACGAGATGTTTTTGTCTATATTTTTTGCGTATGTTTCCTATTACTCAAAATGTTACTTTTGTAAATACACAAGTTTAAATACACAGCTTTTCATTTTTTTTTTTGTTTTTTGTTTTGGTCTTCTGTTTCTTTTTCTTAAAGAGTGTGAATTACATCCACCAGCCTGTGCATTCGAGTAGATTAATAAAGAAAATGCGCTCTCTGTCGGTATTATTAAGTTTCTCCAATGCATGGGCCTGTTGACATAATTCCTACTGTCTAAAATAAATAATAAAAGAAAAGAAAAAAGGCCATTTCGAGTAATAAAAAATAATATCGGATTAAAAATAAAATCCATTAATTCCTTTAAAATGTGCGTGCACGCGTATTTGTGTGTGTGCATATGTGTGTGTATATTTGCGTGAGTTTGTGTGTGTGTGCATGTGTATATGTGCGTGTGTGTTTGTGTGTGCATGCATGCATGTGTGATTATTTGCGTATGTGTGTGCGTGTGTGTGTATGTGCGTGTGTGTATGTGCGCGTGTGTATGTGCGCGTGTGCATGCATGTGTGTGTATTTGCGTGTGTTTGTGTGTGTGTGTTTGTGTGCGGAAGGGTGTGTGCGTGTGTGTTTTTGCGTGTGTGCATGTGTATGTGTACGTTTGTGTGTGTTTTTTGCGTGTGTGCATGTGTGTGTGTACGTGTGTGTGTGTGTGTGTGTGTGTGTGTGTGTGTGTGTGTGTGTGTGTGTGTGTGCGTCAAGTAAAAGAATTGAATGGACTTAGGCTTATTCCTGAATGTATGTTCTTTGTATACATTTGCCTGTGAGAACGTCTCACTCTCTTCTACTCTCTCTGGATTTTTCTCACCCCCTCTCTCTCTCTCTCTTTCTCTTTCTCATTCTCTCACTCATTCTCCCCTCCCCCCTCTCTCTCTCTCTCTCTCTCTCTCTCTCTGACATTTGAACCCACATTTCAATGGGAAATTAATAGAACCTCTAATCAACTCTGAACTGTTTAAGCATCTCACCTCGCAGGATCTTCTTCCAGATAAGCAATATGTCTTTCGCTTCTCTAGGTGTGTTTACGCTTATTGTTGAAAGCACCTATCAAGCTCTAGATAAGAATGACAATGCTCTGGAGATCTCAAAGACATTTGACAGGATTTGGCACATTGGCCTTATTCACAAGTTAAAAGGTTACGGTATTTCTGGAAGATCCTATCTTCGAACCTATATTGTTCCTAATTTTCATCAGTGACATTCCTCACATCATCAATTCTCAACTCGGTATCTATGCAGACGACACAACTATTTATACCTGCCTATAAGCCTGGTTGGTTCAATGTGGTCAAATTGACAGCTGATCTAAAAAATGATTTATATTCTGTTGTTAACTGGGGCAATAAATGGCTTGTTAATTTTAATGCCTCCAAAACTATTCTTCTGCTCTCTTTTAATCTTCCAAGAGAACCATTTTTACCTTCAATCAACATGGCTGATACTAACCTCCAGGAGAGAGACTCATTGCGCCTTCTCAGATTAAAGTTTTCCGCTGACATAAAATAGAAAGACTATACTGAACCAATTGCTAGGTCTGCTACATGGAAAGTCGTGCTAGAGAATTTTTCTCATCAGAAACTATCATACATATTTATAAGTCTACCATTCATCCTTGCTTTGAATATTGCTGTCTGGTGCTCCTGCTATATATTTAGAGATTCTTGATAAAACCCAAAGAAGAATCTGCAATGTTATTGGTCTCGACCTGACAACTCGGTTTCAGTACTTTCCCACCAACGTAATTATCTTCTTTTTCTAGAAATACTTTCATGGTATTTATTCTGATTCACTTCCTTCTATGGTACCTAGCATGTATGAATTTGTAACGGGGTCAGATGTTGGGAAAATTAAAGTAATTACCCTGTTGTTAAATATATTTGTCATAGTAGTTGATAGAGGAATGTTTTTTACATTTTGTATATACTGAAAATAAAATGCATAAAACGTATAATAATAACAACAATAACACAATTGGTATTTTTTCTTTTTTGTGATGTGAATTACAAATATTGATATGGTGTGTGTTAAAAATGTTCTCAGTGTCACGTTCTCTTTTGTTTCCTTAAAAGTTTGTGTTTACTTGTTCTTTTTCTTGTCCCAAGAATTTCGTTGGTGAGGATAATATTTGACATAGTCAGTTTTTGATTTTCAAGGAGGGATGAGGAATACGTGAGTGTTGGACTTTTTTTTTTTTTACCACTGATTCTCCCCTGACTGGTGGAAGGGTCCTTTTTACAATCTGATTTTAGAATGATGAAATATTTTTCTCATCTTTCATCACTGATGGCAAGGTTGATTTTAGGATGATGAAATGTGTTATCTTTATTTCAGGGATGATGAAGTATCCTTATTTACTACCATCACTGATGGCAAGGTTATTTTTAGTATGATGAAATATCTTCATCATTCTGGATCATAACAAATTTAAGCGCAGTACCAGATTAGCAGCATGTTCTCATCATTTTACAGATGAAATGGCTACAGATAACCGTAAGTTCTATGCTAATAGTTTCTTCTATCGTGCTTTTTTGCTTGTGGAATTCCCTTTCAGCTTCTAGCTTCCCAGTCAACTTTGATCTTCAAAAATGTAATTGTAATGTCAATCATTATCTTCTGTCTTTTTAATTATTGTTCTTTTTGTCTCTCTCTTTAATAATTGTTTATATATATATATATTCTCTAACAGTCATTAATCTCTTGTGTCTTAATGGCTTTATTGCCTTGCTTGGGGTGAAATCATTTAAAAAATACTAAGATAAAAAGATTGTGTATTTATTGGTAAGTCAGAGGACGAGAAGTGTTGCACTACAATCTGAAGATCAATTGGCATGGTGGATGATTCCTTCCAAAAGCCATGCAAAGTATTAGCAAACAGAAAAATTTTGTTAGAAACAACAAATAGAGTACTGAACTGTTACATAATATCAGTCCTCCTATATGGTAGTGAATGCTGGACAATCTCTTCAAAAATGAAGAACCTGAAACGAAGGAAATGTGATTCTAGAGAAGGGGGCTGAGAATACTGTAGAATAACAATACAATAAACAGCACTTACCGGCGTAAGGGTCCCAGCTAGCGTCCAGCGGGCAGACAAAATTAAAGCAGGTTGTAACTTAATACAAACATGGACTGAATAGGTTAGCAATGGGGAAACTGAAAGAACACGTATACTTAATATCAGGAATAGACAGGTGAAAATTCTAGGGCACATAATGAAGAAAGACGGCTTGGAAAATTTGATACCCACAAGGCAGATTGACGGCAAGAGGGACAGAGGATGAAAACAAAACATAACCTACCTAGTGAACTTGTGTAAATGGATGGTGGAACATTGTTTAGAAGAGTTAGCAAAAAGAGAAAATTTATTATGAGCTACAAAGTAAAGGAAATTGTGGAGAGCCATGATCACCAACGTTCGGAAAAGACATGGCACATAGCAGAAGAAGGTTAAACTGCAATTTCTCTTTGAAGAGGCAAAGAATTTTTGAGGCCATTTTTTAATAAGTGCATCTTTCATATCATCAGATAAATTATACACACACACACACACACAAGCATTTTTAATACTCATAAAATAATATTTTTATATAAGCTAACCAGATACAGCGCTATCTCATGCTTAGCAATTTTTCAAAATGGGTGCCTGTTTTTTTTTTTGTTTTTTTTTTTTTGGTGGGGGTGGTTGTATAATTCTCTAGATCTATATACTGTCCTTCTTCATGAACTGAAGGGCTATGGTGTCTGTGGCTGAATATTTGAGTTAATCCGATTTTTATTAACACATTTTCGGGGAGCAGAGTTCGAATTCCAGTCGAATCCATTACATTCTCTTACATGCTAATACTCTTGAGAAAGGTATGAATACTCTTCTTCTATTCTACCAGCTATGGATAAATAGCAGAACAGACTGGGTTCTATAGCTTTGGATGGCAACTGGTCTACCGCAGAAAGAAATGACAACCTACTGCAGGAAATAGTCTGCCTCATCAGTCATGTATCAAAAGATACATGATCGCCTAAGTGTGTTTCACGCATGGCACATAACTGACTAACTGTCATGAATATCATATTGAACAGCCACACTTGTAGATCATTTCATATAAATGTAATTTAGCATTCATGCGTACATTAAATATTGCTAGAATATTTCGGTAGTGGATTTCATTGATAATGTGTGTGTGTTTGTTTCTGTGTGCATGCATGTGTGTGTGTGTGTGTTTGAGTGTCTGGTGGCCATTTTTTATTTTTGTCTGGTAGTGTCCATATGTTAATTCAGTGACGTTTAGTGTGAGCGTGAAATTATTTAGGTTACATCTGTTGTGGTTGTAAGTAAACAGAACTTAAATTCTTGAAGTAAATATATTATTAAAGTTTGTATTTGACACATGTTTATTGGTGCTAAAATATTTACTAGGATTCCTTCTAAGTACAGACCAGATAGAACTGTGATATACAAACGCACAAGAATTATACACACGAATGCTGGTTGACAGCACAAACTAAGCGTGAGGTCTGCTTAACCAGTGAATACCGAACAACACAAATATAAAAAAAATACCAGTATTTTCTTTTCCCCTGTCATATTTCATTTTCTGATGAAGCTTAATTAAAACCGAAACATTTTAAATTGGTTGAATAATGTTAAGTTCTGTCTATCAAATATTTCATTAAATTTTTAAATTTTTTTAATTAGTTGTTTTATGTAATCGGTAAATTTACCAAAGTTCATATTTATTTTATATTTTTCTCCAAGTAATTTCAAATGTTGCTATATTTGTTCTCAAGGATATTTTTTTATATGTGAAGATGTAAATGGTTAATCATTGTATTTCCCAAGAAATCTATTGAGAGAATTTGAAAGTATAAACTCAAACCCACATGACTAGCATATATAAACGGAAGTGTACCAAAGTTTGTGCTTTGTTGTGATGTAGTAATTGTTTGACAGTAGAAAATATGCAAGAATTTCTAAGAAATATTGCCTCTCTTTCTCCCCTCTCTCTCTCTTTCTCCCCTCTCTCTCTCTTTTTCAGTTGCCTCTGGGGTGTAAGATTATTTTTTTCTGTAAAGAAGTAAGTCTCTTCATTTAGAAAGCCGCCAAATGAATACAAATCAGGTATTTAAGATGAGGATTTTGAATGCAAAGTGTTTGTGCTACATTCGTTAAAATGCTTCTCATCAAAGCAAAAATCCCTTCTCGACCAAAAAACATAAAAATATAACTAAAACAAAACCTCAGAACGAACACATTTCAACGCAGAGTTAGTGTCTGCTTTTAGAATTCAGGCTTAATTTGGAAAATAAAAATAAAATAAAAAAACAATAAAGATTTCAATTTATTTCCGTTGGTTCTTTTTTTGGCAAAGACAAAGTTTCTATAAAACAGAAGACAAGTTGCGACACATAACTCTGAAACAAAAAATGATATTCCGATTAAAATATCAGTGAATGCCAAGTAAAAATTTTCAAAAGGATAAGTCTGACATAAGGCAACAGTTACTGAGTACTTTCACTATTATGAAAATAGCACTTAGGAATGTTGAGGCCTTTATCAAGCCACTCACTGCCATTCTGCCATCCAAATATTCTTTTCTTACAGTTGATAGTTAGTCGTTTCTACTCTCTTTCCTTTAATATCTTATCTAGGAGGTCCGAGTTTAAATTTCTGCTTGATGCATATATTTTCATCCAATACTAAACAGGCACAGAAAATCCTCCAATCCAAAAAGCATATTAATAAATGTAAACACAAAACAAAAAAAAGTATTTAACGGTATTTATAAAATATATATATATATCACCTAAAGACAAATATATCATCTAATATATATATATATATATATATATATAAATATATATATATATATAAATATATATATATATATATATTATATATATATATATATATATATATATATATATATATATATATATATATATATATATATATATATATATATATATATATATTTATATATATATATATATATATATATATATATATATATATATATATATATATATATATATATATATATATATATATATATATATATATATATATATATATATATATATATATATATATATATATATATATATATCAGGGCTGGTTAATACATGCACACAAAACTAGCACCTTACGTTTTTTTTTTCATATATCTCAAATTAATATCGATTTATTTTAAAGAATTACACTTCAAGCAAGAAAATGATGCCTCTAAAATGCCAGGGGTAGTTGTGAAAGAGAATGAGAAAACTTTTGTAAGGAGAAAGGACAATAAAAAAAGTATGAGGAAGATACAAGATGGTAATTAAAACTGCATTTGAATTTTTAAACATTGTAGTTGACAGGAAAACAAGAAGCCAAAAAGGAGTTCCACAGACAAGAAGTGCAAGAGAAGAAAGTATTAAAATAGAACTTACAGTTAGATCTAGCTAATTCAACAGTAAAACAAAAAGACCTAAAGTTAAGCGTCTACTGTAAGTTGATAAAAGGAAAAGACTGTGTGAAACTGCTCCAAGTAATCTCTTTGCAACCAACAAACAAAATGTCTCCGTACAAGCAGACTATTCTCTCTCGTGACGTGTTTTTATGCTCAGCTGATCTCACAAAAAAAATTGCATATGCTCAACCACTCTTGTGAAATCTCTTAGCTTCGAGACTATGTCTTTCTTAAATGAAGGTATCAGGGCAGCCATATTTCTTTTTCTTTTCCTTTACGCAATTTGCACGCCAGGCATATGCGAGCTCGCTTTTCCACACGAGCTAAGTTGTCTTCTCTTCTACAAAGACTTCATAAATTTTTACTCACATCACAGCAATCAGATAAAATCTTGACTAATGATAGGTATTTGTAAAAGACGCCATAGAATTCACGGAACAGAATATCTAGCCAAAGAAAATACATTGCCAATTATTTTAAAATCCTCTACTATCTTATTTATTCTAAATCTTCTTTTGTGTACTGTCCCTTCAAGAAGTGAATGGTCATGGTTCTCCACAACTTCCAATCCATAGTAGCACTTAGGAATGTTGAGGCCTTTATCAAGCCACTCACTTCCATTCTGCCATCCAAATATTCTGTTTTCTTACAGTTGATAGTTAGTCGTTTCTACTCTCTTTCCTTTAATATCATATCTAGGAGGTCCGAGTTTAAATTTCTGCTTGATGCATATATTTTCCTCCAATACAAAACAGGCACAGAAAATCCTCCAATCCAAAAAGCATATTAATAAATGTAAACAAAAAACAAAAGAAAGTATTTATCGGTATTTATAAATATATATATCACCTAAAGACAAATATATCATCATATATATATATATATATATATATATATATATATATATATATATATGGAAGAAATATAGTCTTAAGATGTGCTATATTTATGGAATAAAGTGCTAAATATGAGATAGAGCGTGTGTATATATAAAATGAACATAGAAGTCAACACTTAGAGGCGACAATCTGTTTTATGCTAGATGCAATTGTCAGGCCACGATTGCATCTAGAATGAAACAGACTGTCGCCTCTAAGTGTTGGCTTCTATGCTCACTTTTTATGTATATAAATTAATTCATCGAGTTGAGAAGAAACCTCAACAGAATGCATATCAACTGTACTAACGGGCTAGAGGTAGCGAACTAGACTCATATATATATGTATAAGGAGGCACGGTGGAGTAATGGATATCGGCTTGGATTGTGGAATCGCAGAGCCGAGTTCGAATCCAGGCTGAATCCATTACATTTCACTTACGTGCTAATACCCTTGGGAAAGGTGTGAATCCTCTTCTTCTCCCTCCAGCTATGGGTTAAATAGCAGGACAGACTGGGTTCTATAGCCTTGGGTGGCAACTGGTCTAGGAGAAGGACAACTCTGAATTCAAAATCTGAGAGGCGTTGTTTGGGAACCTTGTGGCACGTAGTGCACCAGGTCTCTGTATTTCGCACTTCAAAGTGATGGTCCTGCACGAAACCTTCACCACTATAATCGAATCTCATGTGCCGGTGTTGGGCTGTCAGTTTCCTGGAAACTGATCTGCTTGACCCTCATACGTCGAACCCGACGGGAGAATCGATTTGATTTCGATTTAGATTTTATATATATATATATATATTGTCATCTAAATTATGAAAATAACACTGACATCTCATTTTAACACATATTTACCAAAATTATTCAAAAATATCTTGAAATACTAAAGAGTAAATTTATTCAATAAAATCACCATTGGCTTTAACCACAACGTCCAGATGACTTCAGAATCTCCTCCTACTCTTCTGGACAGTCTTCTTGTTTATGTTGGTGAATGCTGCCATGATCCTTGCCTTCAGTTGCATCCCAATCATAGTAATAAGGGGGTTGAAGACTGGGGAGTTAGGTGGTCAGATGTAAGGCGTGATGTGGTCTGCCTTAATTCTTGCCTTTAGTTTATTTTTGGTGTTACAAGGAGTTTTGTTGGTCTCCTGCACACTTGTTGTCCACACATAATCATCAAGGGAGTTAGATGGCCAGGTGTAAGATCTAACAGCCATGATTGGGTTCTCCTATATGTGTGGCATGATGCAGAGTCCTGATGCCAGGGTTTGGATCTTCTAAAAGCCATCCTCTTCATCCACAGCAACACTACTTCCTCAAGACACTTGATGCAGGCCTCCATGTAGAGTCTGTGGCCCTGTGGAAAGATGAATGGAAGCATAATGACACCATCACTAATGATCACTCCGAACGCATAATCACCATTAAACTAATCCAGCTCTTTCCGAATCCTGTGCACTAACCTCAGATTGACATCCAGATATATTGAAATGTTTGTACTGGAGATTCTGGCATGAATGCTAAGCAGTAGAGTACACGAATTCCAAATTTCTGGTCAAGTGAATGTATCATGATGCTCTCTTTCTTACAGACAGTCCCTAACTGACCCTACTAAGCTGTACAGTGAACAAAATAAAAAAAAAACAAAAACAAACAACCTGCATACGCAAAATTAAAAGAATAAACTGACGACAATTTACCCATTGCAGCCTACAGATACGAATAGACCATAATATGAAGAGACAGCTCATTCTAGCTGGGGGGGGGAGAGACCAAGCTTCTGGCTGCTAAATGTCTAATAATATATTGCTATTCCCACTCTTACCAATGTAATACATAATTTCATAATGAGAGATTCTAAGCCCATAAAGGATGAGATGATGAATTTGCTTCCAGGTAGAAGGAAAATGGAAAAGAGATGGAAAAAAAAGGAAGAAAGCATAAAAATGTGTTTTTTTTTTTCCTTTATTTTTCTCATTGGTCTTGCTTTTACTTTTCATGTTTCTTTCAATATTAAAAGTATATGTCCGCAAACAAATTAATAATTTTCCTTCCACATTTCTGCTTATTATATATATATATATATATATATATATATATATATATATATATATATATATATATATATATATATATATATATATATATATATATATATATATATATATATATATATATATATATATATATATATATATATATATGTACATGAATATATATATATATATATATATATATATATATATATATATATATGGATGATGGATGATATATATATATATATATATATATATATATATATATATATATATATATATATATATATAAAATCGCTGTCTCATATTGAACAACTGATTTTTGCATGATCACCAAAATTAAGTAACATTGAGCCTACTCAGAACTGAGATCGGTGGGCATTGTCCCTTCTGATATATGAAATCTATATATCTTTTCCCCACATTAAAATACATAATATATATATTACCAATTTGTGACTGGTAGGGATAATTCCAAGGAGGGTATTAGGATGAATATATTGAAATATTCACAAAATAAATTATAACTGAAATGGATCTCTAAGGTTTTCTTCATGATTTATTTTTATATATATATATATATATATATATATATATATATATATATATATATATATGTATATGTACGTATGTGTGTGTACGTATACCAAAAAAGTATATGTCTGTAAAAAAATTAATAATTT